TATGTGGAGCGGCCTGTTTCCGCCCCCGATTGAACACTCGCACAGGAGATTGAATATAATAATAATACAAGTGATACAAAAATATACATATGTGGAGCAGCCCGTTTCCGCCCCCGATTGAACACTCACACAGGAAATTGATTATAAAAATGATACAAATTTATACAAAAAATGAATTTATGTGGAGCGGCCCGTTTCCGCCCCCGATTGAACACTCGCACAGGAGATTGAATATAATAATAATACAAGTGATACAAAAATATACATATGTGGAGCGGCCCGTTTCCGCCCCCGATTGAACACTCACACAGGAAATTGATTATAAAAATTATTCAAATTTATACAAAAAATATGAATTTATGTGGAGCGGCCCGTTTCCGCCCCCGATTGAACACTCGCACAGGAGATTGAATATAATAATAATACAAGTGATACAAAAATATACATATGTGGAGCGGCCCATTTCCGCCCCCGATTGAACACTCACACAGGAAATTGATTATAAAAATTATTCAAATTTATACAAAAAATATGAATTTATGTGGAGCGGCCCGTTTCCGCCCCCGATTGAACACTCGCACAGGAGATTGAATATAATAATAAATTAATACAAGTGATACAAAAATATACATATGTGGAGTGGCCCGTTTCCGCCTACGATTAATACAAGTGATACAAAAATATACATATGTGGAGCGGCCCGTTTCCGCCCCCGATTGAACACTCACACAGGAAATTGATTATAAAAATTATTCAAATTTATACAAAAAATATGAATTTATGTGGAGCGGCCCGTTTCCGCCCCCGATTGAACACTCGCACAGGAGATTGAATATAAAAATTGTACAATTGATACAAAAATATCAATATGTGGAGCATATACAAATTGATACAAAAATATGAATTTATGTGGAAAATTTTACAAAAAGATACTGTACATGTGGAGCGGCCCATTACCGCCTCCGAAATTACACTCCATAGATATTTTTTTTGTTTAATTAGAAGAACCAGAAAATTTATAAAAATAGCAGATATACATGAAAAGTTTTCAATATCATACAAATATACAAGTGGGGCGGCCCGTTACCGCCTCCGATAATACATGCCATGGAGCTAAAACCAGTCAATGCAAAGTTCCTCATCTCCTTCTCTGCCTCACTGTTCGAATCTATAATAAAAGAAAATATGAATATATTTCAATGTTTGTAATATAAATGAAGTAACATAAGTTTTTGGACAGGAGCTTCAAGTTTATTTGTTGCAAGACTAGAGAAAAAAAAGAAACTTAAAGTGTTTGAATTATTCCTAATTGTAACAAATGTTATTCTAAACCAGGGACATTCCACCTCATCTTAGGATAGGGGCCCAGGCCCTTACCATTGGGAATTTTACGACATTTTACAACTTTTTGGGAAAATTTATAACAAGATATATTTCAATAAATAAAGACTTAATTATGATAGTTTAAATTGATATTTTACTTCATTATTCAGGAATTTACTACAGAAATAAGATCTTTTATTAAGCTTTAGCCAAGTCTCCAAAAATTATTTTCATTTCATTGAGAGTTCAAACCTTAATTAAGTTTGTATTACATGAATTTTTCAAAAATTTAACACCGAGGCTGTTCAGTTTTGGGAAAAATAGAGTGATTTTGCAATTGGGAATGGAAGTGGAAAACCCCTGTAATCAGAAGCGTAGTCAATATAATTTACTCACTGTGGATTCCTGAGTCAGGGAAGAGACATGACGTCTTATGGTGTCAGCAATTTCTGGGGGCATGGTGTTAGCAGCTTCACTCGCACTGGTCAGGAAGGGTCCAAATTCATCCAGCTTTGGGACAGTTGGCTGACCAAATGTGCGCTGCTTCTCCAGGTGTCCCTCCCACCAAGATGCTTCCTCATCTGTCAGGCTCCCACATCTTTTCCACTTGGGCAAATCCACTCCCATGGCATCAAAGGCTCCTCTTCCTTTATCTGGCATGGTGCTGATTGGATGTGGGGCAGCATCAAAGGCTCTGGCCAAGTCTGTGATGTCCAGCTGCTGGAACGTTGCTCTCTGCAAGGGCCATTCCTTGTATGACATGATGACCCTGTCCTCCTGTAAGTGAAACCTAAAGCAGTGAGGAGACTTGTGGCCAGACAGCTGGATGGGTGACTGGAGGGCCAGAGCACGGTAGTCCCACAGATCAGACAGATGCTCCGTTGTGGGCTGGGGATGGTAGGCTGCCTGGATTTCCTCGTGGAGGGTGTCTGATGTTTTGATGGCCATCTTTCCTATGTGGATCGATATCCACGAGAACATTTGATCCACATCCTCATGGGTATGGCCTACCATCAGGAAGGACAGCTTCACCTACAGATAAGGAAAACCATTATAACCATACTTATCTACTGATACATAATGTATTCTATACCTTGTCAATTTGTCAGTATACATGCTATTACAATATTTGAAACAATTCCTGGGAGTTTTTTTTATTTTCTTTGGAAAATGGTAATAAAAACATACCTTTTTAAACATCTTCCTCAGGACCAAACTTCCAAGGAATCCCATGATGATAAAGTTTCTGTTGTCTTTGGCAGAATTGTCAGCCTGCAGAAACAGTGTGGGAGGCAACCGTCTTTGCTGCAATGATAGGAATATTTATAGTATTAATTTGACTGAAATAATAAACAAAACTGTGTTGTTTTAATGATTACAGTCCGGAATGCCAGGCAAATTACTCTGCACATTTATATATAAAAATAAATTATAAAATTGACTCATGTTTAGAAATTATTAAAGGTTTGACTAAGTGCAAATAGGTTATATACCTGTGCAATGTCATCAAAGACTCTCAGCAGGCAATTCATGGTGATGTTGGAGTCGCATGAGAATTTGTCTGTCCAGGTGAAAACGTAGGACTTTCCCTGTCCATGGGCCAAAATTCCCGTGACATGGTGATGGACCCTGGTGAGGCTGACATCTCCCTGTTCAAATAATTTCAAGAAGTGTTACATATAGCATGTAGGATCTCATTGTCAATTAATTGTACAGCAATGTTGTTTTAAGCCTAATTTGAAAACTTTTTTAATAAGAGATGGAGGGGATGGGGAGATTATTGGTCGTTTTGTTATAATAATGAAGGATCCTTGCATTTTAAACTGTGTAATCAACAAGCCTTAATTCAATAATATAGTCATAATATCAATACTGTAACATACCTTATGGTATGAGGGTAACCTGGGTAGGTTTGTCTTTGCCTGGTCCATATTGTCGATGATTATCGAACAATACTTCTGGGGGTTCTCTCTTGCCTTCTTAATGTGTTTGTAATACTTTTCCCTCGCTATTCTACAATTGAAAGGCACAATATTACATAATCAGTATTATTGATGTTTCTCATGGGTATTCTATTCTATGACATTTCCAGAGTCACCTCTTTTCCAAAGAAATAAACAAATGACTTGGGTTCATTTAATTACTTTAATTTTTCAAGACAAGTTCCAGCTTTTTTTCAGAGCTTAATTGGTTGTACTCAAAGTTCTGCTTTAAAAGATATACCTGTAATAATTTTCCCCATTACCCCTAGTATATATAAAAGTATACTCATGAAATTGTATTGTTCTTTATTTTTAGATAATGATATACAAATACGTTCCTGCCTCCAGGTAAATGAATCTCTAAATATTTCCCAATTAATGTTTTCACATTGCCACCGCATGTCTTTGAATGATTATCTCTTGAAAGTTAACACACATTCTTATGACATTCACATGATATAACAACAGTTTTTTATCCATGACATCACTGAGATAACATTACCTTTGAACAAGAAGATGGGCTCTCTTTTGCTCCTCCAACAGCAATCTCTGTTCCTTGGATAGATCACCAGCCTTTGCATTACGTATCATGGAACACTCCTTGCATTCTGTAAATGTGGTTCTCTACAAAGTAATTGGAATAATTTAATGAGTGCCTGAATGCATATATATAGATGTAGATTACATCATGTACATAGAGAGTATTTATTAAAGAAAATATGTTTAAACATTCAATAAATATTTAACATTTGACGGTGTACTCTTTTTAGTGCTTTTGGCAGAAAGATGCTTCCACTAGTTCAAGTACTTCGCTAAATGTCTTAAACTTGATACAAGAATAAGAATATGAAGAAATGTGCTAAATCAAATCTATGCTTATTTGTTTAAAAAGCACTTTCTGCTTAATATTGTACATGCCAAATATAATACATTTACAGTCTACATATATTTTTAAACTTTCTAACAATATCTTATACGACTTTTCTTTTTTTACCGGGTACTTTAAATTTTGGTGGAGACCAGAGTGACTAAATTTTTCATGACTATAAGAATGCATGCTCTTAATAAAATGTATTATGGATAATTATTATCAGTATGTATGGCAATAGAAACATTCAGTGATAGACTAATAAATTGAAATAATTAAAACAAAAATAATCTACCATACCTCTGATGCTTTAACTTCTGGAAAGCGGTCATGTACGAGTCGCTTGAAGTGCTTCATACAGTAGGGGTTGCTGTGCCCGCTTGCATACTCTTCATACATGTTCTGAATTGAGTAGCATGTTGGAAGCATCACATTCCCGTTGTTTGGCTGGACCTCCCCATGGGCTCTAGCTGAGCTCCTGATAAAGTTGACAACATCAGCTGTCCGGGGCCTGTCATATCTGTGGGATGTTCTTGCATCTTTGTCAGGACTTGTCCTTCCCTTCAGCACATAGTATCTAAAAACAAGAACATAGGACTTTAGTTCCAGGTGATTTTGTGCTTAAATTTAATGTTCTTTTAATTTCTTTGTTTATTTCACTGAAAAGCTAAGGTATCACTGACCAAATATCAAATCTATTGACTGATACTGTTTAATGACTGAGCAAAATACAGAAATTACAAGAGCACCAGGAAACATCTTATTAATGGCCATGGAATGACTTTGCTTAAGGTATTCGATGTATAACGACCATATTTTGTACCTAATAAATGACTGGCCCGATATTCCTAACCATGGTAGCATTTTGAAGATGTTATCAAATAAAAATGCTCCACCAAAAAAATTTACAAAATTTTCATTATTCTCCAATTAATTGCACCTTGAATTTTGCATTGAAGTCTATGGGCAGCGCAGGTTTTTATAAGATATTGTTAAAAGTAATCTCTTGGTGAAAATATGCATTAAATCTCTCTTTATTTAAATATCAAATAAAATGAATTATTTACCGCACAAATTTTGAGAAATCTTGAACTTTCTTCTTTTGCCCAAGGGCAGATAACTCTTAAAAAAACTTTTAATGTGCAAAATGACAGTCTCCTTACATGTCATCAGTCTTGTGAATTTGGTTTATGTCACTTTTATCGTTATCTAGCAATGCGTTTTAAACTAGTTTAAAATTATTTAAAATCGTTCAAAGCCCCCTCGTTATACATCGAATACCTTAAAGCAATATGAGCTGCATGTCTGACATCGGAAGATTTTATTGCAAATTTGAATTAATAACTAATTTAATAACAGAAAAATAAATCATTTATAAACTTCTCTTGGTCATATTTGTGATGGAAAATTTTTCAATAGCTTTGATTGAAAAAAATTTGAATTATTGTTGTCCTGTACAATACTGATTTCTAATATAAACTTAAACTGTATACTCAGTTGTATAGAAATATTTCTTCTGAAACATTTTTAAAACTTTATTTTGGGCTTGTTTGTCATAAGGGTTTAAATTACATACAAATAAATCATTATAGCACATTTTAACAGCAAAAGAAAATTCTCAATGATACAGCTCCCATTGCTTTAAGGTTCATTGATACTCTGATAAGAGACATAACTCTACAGATAAGAAAGATAACTTTCTGCAGACATTTTGTCATGAAATTCAGTAATTTGTCATGCCAGAGTTTACAAATCTCTATCATATGGACCATTTTATTGTTAACTCAAGCAAACCTTTCCCATGGTTCAGAGGTTCATTTTTAGTTTTATTGCTAGTATATTCAAAAATTATTTTGAATAGTTTCCTAAAACATTTACACTCAGTTCCGTTAAACGGTGTAAACTGATAAAAAAAATCTATTTCTAAACGTGAAAGTCTTTTAATTGTACAGAAATAAAAGCCGCAGAATTGTATATAAACATAAAATTAATATTTTATTTCATTAAAAAAGAATTTCAAGGGCGATAATGGAAAGATAACTCTTGCTTATGGATGCATTTAATTTTACATGCACAGAAAACAATTTGATATTCTGATTTAAAAAGCATCGCTCCAGTATGTTTTCTATAGGGAATTAGATAGGTATGAGAGTAAATATTATTTTCATATTTACCTCATCTTTCTAATTTAATTATGAGATTAAAAATAATTGATCTTTCTTATGACCATATCAAATTTTCTTCAAATCATGATTTGACATATCATTTATTTCTGAAAAAGTAAGCAACGCTTCATACTTCAAACTATTTTGTATTTGAATTGAATGTTATAGTTGTTGCTGAAAATCAATGTTTGGAATTTTAAAAAAAAGTCGTGAAATGTGGAGCAGAGGGATATTGTCCCTTAATACTCAATACTTGGAAAAGAGGGACTTCATGTTGGGCTGTATAAAATTATTGATAATTATCCATCTTCAAGAATGTATATTATAGAAATATTAACTTTCAAATATCTATCTGACAGGCAGATTTTCATATGATTCTGTGAAAAAAAGTTGTGATTTTTATTCAACAAAGGTTGTATTTTTTTTTTACCATGTTTACTGTTTGTATTAAAATTGATCATTAATGATAAAATCATTAAGTAGATATCCAATCTTGAATAAATATTACAAAATACATAGACATCTTTTTTGCTGTTGTTAAAATTATGAATTCAAAATATGTTTTTTTTAAGTAATGGAATTGAAGT